GAAAGGAACTCAGCGTAAGTCAAGAGCTAGAAATGACTAAGCTTGGTAAGGAAGGAATGTCAAAAGCCACGATAGTTCGAAAGCTAGGCTTCTTGTGCCAAACGGTTAGCCAAGTTGTAAATGCAAACAAAAGGTTCTTGAAGGAAATGTAAAGTGCCAGTTCAGTGACCACATGAATATTGAGAAAGTGAAAGAGCCTTATTGCTGATCTGGAGAAAGTTTGAGTGGTCTGCATTGAAGACCAAAGCATTTCCGTACACCAGCCCCTAATCCAGAGCAAGGTCTTGGCTCTCTTTAATTCCGTGAAGGCTGAGAGAGGGGAGGAAGCTGCAGAAGAAAAGATGTAAGCTGGCAGGGGTTGGTTCATGAGGTTTAGGGAAAGAAGCCGTCTCCAGAACATGAAAGTGCAAGATGAAGCAGCAAGCGCTGGAGGAGAAGCTGGGGCAGCTTCTCCAGGAGACTTAGCTGAGAACGTTGACGAACATGCAGCAGATTTTAAATAGAACAGCCTTATATTGGACGAAGATGCTGTTTAGAACCTCCTTAAGCTAGACAGTAGTCAATATCTGGCTTCAAAGCCTCAAAGACAGTTTGAGCCTCTCGGGAGGGGCTCATGCAGCTAATGACTTCAGGCTGAAGCCAGTGCCCATTTGCCAGGCTGAACATTCTGGGGCTGTTAAGAATGATGCTGATTTTACTCGGCTGTGCTCTCAATGGAACAACAAAGCCTAGATAGCAGCACATCTGTTTACTGCATGATGTACTGAATGTTTTAAGCTCACTATTGAGACCTACTGCTCAGAAAAGATTTCTTTCAAAAGAATACTGCTCATTAATAATGCGCCTGGTCACCCAAGTGACCTGATGGAGATGAATGTTGGTTTCATGCCTGCTAACACCACATCCATTCTGCAGCCCATGGATCAGGGAGCAGTTTCAATTTTCAAGTCCCATTATTTAAGAAATGCATTTTGTGAGTCTACAGCTGCTAGAAATAGTGATTCCTCTGATGAATCTGAGAAAACCTTTTGGAAAGGGGTCACCATTTTAGATGCCATTAGAACATTTCTGATTCATAGGAGGAGGTCAAAATATCAACATGGATAGGAATTTGGAAGAAGTTTATTCCAACCCTAATGGATGACTTTAAGGGGTTCAAGACTTGGGTGGAGGAAGTAAATGCATATGTGGTGGAAAAAGCAAGAGAATGAGAATTAAAAGTGGAGCCTGAAGAGGTGACTGTATTGCGGTAATCTTTTGATCAAACTTTAAGGGATGAGGAGTTGTTTTTTGTGGATGAACAGAATAAGTGGTTTCTTGAGAAGAAATTTACTCCTGGTAAAGATGCTGTGAACATTGTTAAAATGACAACAAAAGGTTTAGAATATTACATGATCTTAGTTGATAAAGCAGCAGCAGAGTTTGAGAGGATTGACTCCAGTATTGAAAGAAATCCTATTGTGACTAAAATGCTATCAAACAGCACTGCTTGCTACAGAGAAACCTTTCATGAAAGGAAGAGTCAATTGATGCAGCAAACTTTATTGTCCTCTTACGTTTTAAAATGTCCAGTGGCTCATGCCTATAATCACAGCACTTTGGGAGGGTGAGGTGGGAGGATTGCTTGAGGTCAGGAGTTTGAGATGAGCCCAGGAAACACAGCAAGACCCTGTATCCACAAAAAATAAGAAAAAAATTAGTTGGGCATGGTGGTTCGTGCCTGCAGTCCCAGCTTCTCAGGAGGCAGAGGCAAGAGGATTGCCTGAGCCCAGGAGTTCAAGGCCACAGTGAGCTATGATGGCAGCACTGCACTCCAACCTGGGTGACAGAGCAAGACCCTGACTCTGACTGACACTGTTCTTCCATGACTCCTGTCATTGAAACAATCTTATAAATCAACACATAGCTAATACATAGTGAGTGCCTGCCAAGTGCCAGGTGTGTAGCTCTGTCAGCTCACCTAATCCACGTAGCAATTCCATGACAAAGATACTGTTTTCTATCTCTTCTTGCAAATAAGAAAACAAAAGCATGCAGTTGCATAGCTAGTAAGTGGCAGAGTCCGTCAGCAAGTTTTTGGAGGGAAAATATGTTATAAAAGAACAAGACCTGGTTAGGGCCTTGATGCTGTTATCACCTATGTAGGAGAGTCACTAGTTCATGTATTTGCAGCAACCTTTCATCTCTGACTTTTCTGAATATGGAACAATGTATTCTGTCAATTTGTGAACTTTCGTTTTGGCTCCATTTGTGTTCTTTTTTTTTTTTTTTTTTTGGAGACGAAGTTTCACTCTTGTTGCCCAGGCTGGAGTGCAACGGCACAGTCTCGGCTCACCACAACCTCTGCCTCTCAGGATCAAGCAATTCTGCTGTCTCAGCCTCCTGAGTAGTTGGGATTACAGGCACGCACCACCACCCCTGGCTAATTTTGTGTTTTTAGTAGAGACGGAGTTTCTCTATGTTGGTCCGGCTGGTCTCAAACTCCTGACCTCAGGTGATCCGCCTGCCTCGGCCTCCCAAAGTGCTGGGATTACAGGCGTGAGCCACCGTGCCCGGCCTCTATTTGTGTTCTTAGTAAGCTACCACCATCTTGCTCATGAAAAGCACCATCTAGTTGGGCACATGAAGAAGGATGCTGGGGAGCAGATTCTTTGGCTCACAGTGACCATAAACCACGGTAAGCTTTGGATTGCTTCTCTACCCAATTTCACATCAGGGAGCATCCTTCAGAGGACATTCTGAGAACATCAGAAGGTGGCAGACATCATCAAGCTGCCTTGGAGAATGAAATCTGCTAGAATTCTGATGAGAGAGGAGTCACTGAATACACCATGCCGCATGGTGTCAGCTGGCTTGTGAGAGCAGCCACAGGATGCATGCACAGACCTGTGGGCCATGAGCCCCCCAGAGCAGGCCTCGCACCCTAACCCCTTCTCCACCTGTCTGAGCCAGGCATGTTGGTTAAACAGAGCCCCAGTGGGCTTTCTGAGATGTGCCCTCAGAGCACCAGTGTCAAAGGTGGAGTGAGAACAGGATGAGGTGTCCACGGCGGGTGGAGGCCTCTGTGTGCTGGACCACTTCAGGTTCCATTTCTGTGACACAGCTTCCTCATCTTTCAGCGAAGTCTCTCACAGCTCAAATGTCCTGAGATCCCAAATTTCAAATGCTCAGCCCACTGTGGCTACAGAATTCCAAGCCAAGACCAAATTCTTTTTTTATTTTTTTGAGATGGAGCTTCTCTCTGTCACCAGGCTGGAGTGCAGTGGCACAATCTCAGCTCACTGCAGCCTCTGCCGACCAGGTTCAAGCAGTCCTCCTGATGTAGCTTCTCGAGTAGCTGGACTACAGGCATGGGCCACCATGCCCAGCTAATTTTTGTATTTTCAGTACAGACGGGGTTTCACCATGTTGGCCAGGTTGGTCTCAAACTCCTGACCTCATGTGATCTACCTGTCCTGGCCTCCCAAAGTGCTGGTATTATAAGCATGAGCCACTGTGCCCGGCCATGACCAAGTTCTAAAGACCAGTTTTGTCTTTTATTGTATAGCCCAGAGGTATCTTTTCCCCCCCCTCCTTTCTCCTTTTTGGAGCTAGGAAATGGAATTCCAGATGACTGGCAGTTTGTTAACTGCAGCTGAATTAAGTGTGCTTAATTTGGTTGAAGCGTATTTGCAGACATTTTAGGAAATAAATCTGGGAAACCATTTGTGATTCTTTGCAGTCGACTTTGAGAAAGAAAATGGCTATATTATTTCATTCTCTTTTATTATAAAAATAATACATGCTTGTTCCAAAAAAGCCAGAAAACACAAAAACAGTGAATAACGATTCCATAGAACTCTACGACCTGAATCCTACCACTGTATTCTTTTTCATGTACTATCCTCTCGGATTTTGTTTCTGATGCTTAGGTGGATGGATGGATGGATGGATGGATGGATGGAAAGATTACAAAACAGGTGTTAAAATGAAATTTTGCTAATTATCCCTTTAAAACAATGCAGCAATATATAGCAAGGAACATTTTCTGCATCCGTCAAGTTAGACATGTATCTTTGTTCTGAAAGCCTTCATAGTATTTTATAGGCTTCATGAATCATTAATTTACAAAATTCATCTTCTATGAATGGGCATTTACAGTGTTTCAAGTTTTTTTCTCTTGTAAAGAAAAGTACAGAAAATATCCTTATCCATGTGAATTTGATGAGTGGCCCTGTTATTCCATGCGTGCAAAGCTCTACAAAGGGATTTAAGCATATTCCAGTACTATTTTTTATACCTAAGCCAGAACAAGTTCTTCTTATTCTCTTTACTCCTTGCCTATTTGACAAGTAGAAAAAAAAGTTAACTTGTTTTAATTAGACTTTAAAAAGTATCGATGAGCCTGAATAGTACATTCATTTATTGGATGTTTTATCATTCTTTTTATGTGAATTACCTGTCTATAACCTAGTCTACTGTTATATTGGATGTTTATATTTATTTTATTGATTCATAAGAGCTACTCATACATTATCAAAATTAACCTGTATTTATCATTTATATTAACAATAATTCTTCTCCACTCACTATTTTTTCACTGTTACTTGTGGCTTTTTTTTTTTTTTTTAACCAAACAGAAATCAAGTATTTATGTTGTCAGACTTATCCTTTATTTAAATAAATTCTGGCTTTAGTGTTTTCCTTGGCAAGGCTTTCTCACATAAATATTATGTAGTATGTAATAGTCATCTTAATTTTCTTCTATTTTTGTGATTTTATTATTCTATTTAGTATCCATTTCACTCTCCATAGTGTTTATCCTAGAGTAAGATAGTAAGTAGATGACTACTTTTATTTTTTCCAAAATGTTTAGCCAGTTATTTCAATACCATAAATCAGATGGTTCGTCATTTTCTTGGTTAATTTTTTTACCAAACAGGTGATAATTAAAAGGGAACAATACTTAAATGTTTAACCGTTGACAATGTTGATAAGCTGAAGCTATTTTGTTTTAATAGAGGTCTCATTGGAGGATCAACAAGCCAAAAATTCCAAAAAGGAGCGTTTGCTCAGTTCTGCATCATCTGAAGATATCTGGAGAAACTACTCATTGGATGAAATTGAGAGGAACTTTTGTCTAGAAGTAAGATGTTTTTCCTAAGCCACAGTTACCTGCAGGCTAAGCACAGCAACGTGGATAACTATGAAAAAGCGCTAGGTTTAGGCACGATTTCTAAAATTTGTTTGGATCCCACCTATGTCTCCTCCAGTGCTGAGACCCCCTCCACCTCCTAATAACAGCAATACATGGTCATTGATAATAGTGATCGTGATGTGAAATTAATTTTTAAGTACATCTTTTATGCTACCCACATACTAACCCTAGTAAGACGTATAAAGAAATAATGCAACTGTATTGAGTAACATAAAGGAAAACATGAGTAAGTAAAGAGTCCTTTCTGATTCTTGGACTGGAAGATTTAGTCTTAATACCTGTTCTCCCTATATCAGCATATATATTTTTTCTTTTGAAAAATTAAAATAGATGACTTATTCTACACATATAAAATATTTTATAAAGGTGTAATAATTAACACAATCTGGCATTGGTGCAGCAGTGGACATTCAAACTGATTGAAAAGGGTAGTTGGCTAACGAACCACTCTTTATGTGTGAACTTAGCCTGTGGTGTGAAGCGTTTCAATAAAGTGTAGTGAGAGAGGCTTATTTGGTAATTATTACTGAGGTAATTTGCTATCCAGCCGTTTTGGGGAAAGAAGCTTATAACCTTCCACTCTTCACCAAAAATTAATTCTGTCTGCATCAACGATTTAAATGTAAGCAATGTGGGCAAACATTTGCTAATCTTGAAATTTAGAATCGCTTGTAAGCATGAAGTAAAGCCCAAAAACCTTAAATAAAAAAAACTTCAGAAAAATGAAAAATCCTTTATACAGCAAAACTTTGTATAAACATATGATAAACCTGGTGAAATATGTGCAACATAAATGAAAGATGAATAACTCCTAACATTCATCAAACTTTTACATGTTATTAATATAAAATGTTCAGTAGAAGGATGTAGGAAAAGCTGGCAAAGCCAGTGTCGGTAAGGGTGTTAGAGAAGTGAGCACTGTCATATTTGTGGGTAATTTGGTTAAATGTGTTTTCTATAGTTGTTGCTAATTACTTGTTTTCATAAAAACATGACCATTACCAAAAATGTAAGCAATTCTAAAAAGTACAGAGAAGAAAGTAATAAATTCTTCACAATCTACCACCCAGAAAGAATCAAAGGCAACATTTGGTGAACATAATTCTAGGCCTCTCTTTATTCGTATGTGGAAGGACGGCTGGATCAGTGGGTAGGTGGAGACATAGATAGAAATAATTTTATAAGAAGAGGATCATACTCCTTTTTAAAAATAAAACATATTTCATTTAAATTTCCTTGGATTTACCAGAAGCAAAGGAAATGTCACCGTCATTATCATAATTAACCCTTTTATGAGGCGTTCCCTGTACCAGGCAGTGCTTTCCTGCTGGTCTGTTCAGTCTTCACAGCAACCCCATGAGCGGGGACCCTGAGGCATGAATAGGTTAAATGAGTCCAGCTAAGTCCTGGGGCCGAGTGTAAACAGCCCACACAGTACAGGGTACACAGTCTCCGTCCTTAACGCTGCAACACTGTCCTCGAGGGAATCCGGAGACTCTTCTGAACCCTGGATGAACATTTCTTTCCCGCAAGACATGTTAGGTCCCCAAAGGGACTTTAAGATGAGAAAAGAGATTTAAAAAGCTATTAAGAGCTAGAGAAACGATGTTTTTGAAGGATGTTTCCATTTCAGACAGTTTGGGCTGGCTTTCTGCTGTGAGACTCGAAGTGATGGGCCCTTGTTTCTTCCTACGCCTCCCTCCCACCTTGCTATTTTTGCTGTTTATACTTTGTCCTCAGCTGAGTTTATAATATTTATATTCTGTTCAGTTGCCATAATTCCCCCTGTTGTTTTGACTTTGTTTTATATTTGCATGAATTTAATGTGCATCACGATAGTGCAGCGCTGATCACAGTTTATCCCTCTCAGAGTTCTTTATTTTGATTTATTTTTTGGTTGGCTGGATTTCATTGTCAAGTAATTTCCTTAAGAAAGGCTCACGGGTGCTTTATTCCCCTTGCTTTTTTTCATATTTGAAACTATGTGCCTTTTGCTTTTATATTTGAACAGCAACTTGGCTGGCTATAATCCTTCCATCATGCTTTCTTTTCCTTGTAATGTTGTAAATATGTTTTCCATTGTCTTCCAGCATTGGATGTTGCTGTGAAAATAACCTGGGGTCAACTGGATTTCTTTACCCCTTATTGGTGATTTCTTTTTTCACCTGGATTCCTGAATTATATTTTTATCCTTGAAATTAACAAAGGAAAACCAAGCTGTATCTCAGCATGGAGCATTTTGACAAACTTTCCTGAAACACAGTGTGACGTACAGATTCAGCCCCTCCTTTATTTCAGGAAAGCGTCCCGTGTCGCAGTGCTAAAATCGTCTCCTCTCTCCCTCCTCCTGTCCTCCCCTCCTTCCACAGCAGCCCCTGTTATCCGTATGTTGGATCGGCTTTGCTGCTCCTTGAGAGCCGTCGTCTTCTCTCCGGTTGATTTAATTCTTTTCTCCCTTTCTTCTGCCTTCACTGAGATTCTTCCACACCACTCCTTTAATACGAATTTACATCTCATCATCCTTGCCTCTTATTCTTGCTGTTTCTAATTTATTAGTTCCTGTAATTATGCCATTTTTGTTTTCTCTTTTCTTAGCTTTGAAATATTCCTTTTCAATGAAAATTTCTAATCATTTTCAAGATTTACTTAATTGATTTTTTAATTTAGTTCCTTTTTGTGACATGAAATTTTTCCAGAGGATGTGTCCATATTTTTTTATATTCTGTCTTCCTCTTTGCTGAGTTCTTTGTCTTTGCCTGACCCTTCTTTCTCTTTTTCCCCATCTCATGTTTGCATAGTTGCAAAACCATTTATTTTCATCCTGTTTGTGCTCAGGATGAGATTCACTCATCTTATGAGTACTGTTGTATTATCGTTTTCACTGCTGTACAGTTTCAATTGTCTAAATATTTCACAAGTTATACATTCTCCTATGGATGGACATTTGGATTGCTTCATGTTTTATGCCAATCCAAACAGTGCCACCATAAGTGGTTGTGAACTTAGCTTCTGGTCCACGGGTGCCAAGGCTTCTCCGGGAATTGCACGTAGGAGTGGAGCTGTGAGCTGGGTTGTAGAGCATGCCCTTCAGGCTCAATGGGTGGCACCCTGTTGCTTATCACCATGTTGATTTACACTCCCACCAGAAGCACGTGGGCACTGCTGCCATTTCACGTGCCCCTGGGACTTGATACTGCTACGCTTTTACGTTTCTGCCAGTTTGATGCAGATGAAATGCTATCTCAGCTATAACTTTTGTGTATTTCATTTGTTACTAATGTGTTGAACAGCTTTTTGTCTTTTATAACTTTTGTTTAGAACATTTTAAATAAAAATATATCCACTTTTAATAAATATTTACCGAGTGCCTACCACGTGCCAACATTGTGCTTCATCCTAGGTAATTATCTGTGAAGAAAACAAATACAATCTCTGCTTATATAGCGATCACTTTACCTTATATCAGGGAGTCCGTAAACAAGTAAGAAGTCAGGAAGGCATTTTTTTTTTTTTTTTTTTTTTTAGTGGTCTGATGAGAAAGACCAGGCTGTTATGAGAGAGAATAACACCAGGGATCTCATTTAGATTTCAGAGCAAGGAAACATTTATACAGACTACCCAAATGAAGGTGGAAAATGGGTGCCCCTTTGCTTTTCCACCCAGAGTGTGACGGTGTATGAAGGGGGGTCTGCCACGTGTTTTCATTTCCTTTTTTATACTTTGCTGAATTGCTTGCGTTAAAAAAGTCTTCTACTTTATATATAAACAGTAACAATGAAAACAGGGAAATTTCGTGATTCTGTTTCTTATTCCTTTAGTGGATCAAGGTTCTTGTACATGTGCTTCCGTGTTCCAGCAGATTTTTTAGAAAGTGACGTTTTACACCAAGTTGGTGGTAATTTTGTTTATCTTCTGATCCCAGTTAGCAGGAAAAAATTAAACTCAGACAAAGTGGGATAATTGAAAATATTGGAGAATATTGTTATTACTCAATAATAAACAGTAGGAAAACTTTTGGAAATAAAACCCATCTTCACAGTATTTTTACGAGTCATGTAAAAATCAGTGGTTAACTGCGTTTTCGGGGTCCCCTAAGCAAAGCTCATTTACCCAGCTTCTTTATAATTCCTCATTAAAAAAAAAGAAAAACATGATGAAAGAAATGTCCAATGTATATTCTGTTTATGCAGTCCTTACATCAATAATTTTCCTTACTATAAAAAGGAAAAAAGCTACTTCTATTTTTAATAAAATATTACCAGCTTTTTTGTTTGATTTGCTTGTCGTAATCTGGAGAAGCATAGCGCGGGCTCACAGTAGGGAAAGGCTTGAAAGTGTATTAAGGAAGATGTATCAAACTGGCAGATCCACCAAGTATTTTTAGCTCTGAAATGTGAGGCGGAGCTGTTCTATGTGCTGCTTTTCCCTGGGAAATTTGTCTGCCTTACCACTTGAGTAGCTGTGACTGTGAATGCTGTTTTGTAGTGAGCTCATCAATTAAACATTTGAAGTTCAGTACATGCCATAGTAACCTTTTTGATCAGTTTTTGGAGAGAAAAACGTGAAGAGATTTTTGGTAAATATAAAATGTCGAATAGCTCCATGAAGTTGATTTTTACGAATGCCACGCTCTAATTTTAATTTATTGCAGCTTTCGAAGTCCTATGAAAAGATTGAAAAGGCCCTCAGTGCAGGGGACCCCTGTAAAAGTGGCTACGTGTCTTTTAATTACCTAAAGATTGTCCTCGACACCTTTGTATACCAGTTACCAAGAAGAATTTTTATCCAGTTAATGAAAAGGTAAGAGTCTCATTGTTTCCTTGACATTTTTTTTTCCCCAGACGTCAACCATGAGAATAAGGAACTGCTTTGTTTATTTTTTTATTAATGTTTTAGACTTTTTAATATTGAAAATTTAAAACATATACAGAGGTAAAGAGAATAATATTGTGTATCCACAAATGTACCCACTACCCAGCTTCAACAAGGGTCAGATCTTGGCCAATCATTTCACTTGTATTCCTGCTCATTTTCTTCAACCCCAGATATTTCTGAAACAAATACCAGACACTGTATTTCCCTCTCTCTCTAAAAGATAAGAACTCTTTTTAGAAGCAAGGTGAAAATACAGTTTTCACATCTAACAGAGTTATCAGTCATATTAATAAATATCCAGTCAAGGTTCAAATCTAACAGCTTGCCCCATGTTTTATTTTATAATTTAAATGTATTTAAATCAGGATCCAAATGAGGTCTGCAGTTACAATTGATTTATCACGATTCTTTTTTGAACCCTAGCCCTCTCCCCATGTCTTAATTCTAGAAGTAATTTGGATTGTTTGTTACGGGGGCTTTCTTACAACCTGGATTTGACTGCTTGTAACCTGCAGTGACATTTAACCTGTGTGCCTGTCTCCCAACCTAACTCCCAACCCTAAATTGATGGTTAGATACAGATGTACAGACCCACGTTCCTTTTTTTTTTGGTGGGGGGGGGTGGGCAAAATACTTCATAGGTGGTGGCAAATATGTATTGACTGTCTCTCTTTTCATGGTCTTAACAGTTGTTGATCATACCTAGATCCATTGATTCACTAGAGATTATAAAATGATGATATTCTATGCCTATCGTTTCTTCTTCTCTTATTAGTTGAAGGACTTCTATAGTAATGACTTCCCCTCTCCAACTAGGTGGTAACAAGACAGTTAGTATAAGAAAGGCAGGACAGGTGACCGGGTGCGGTGGCTCATGCCTGTCATCCCAGCACTTTGGGTGGCCGAGGCAGGTGGATCACGAGGTCAGGAGTTCACGATCAGCCTGGCCAAGATGACGAAACCCTGTCTCTACTAAAAATACAAAAATCAGTCTGGCAGGGCAGTGGGTGCCTGTAATCCCAGCTACTCAGGAGGCTGAGGCAGAGAATTGCTTGAACCCGGGAGGTGGAGGTTGCCGTGAGCCAAGATTGTGCCACTGCACTCCAGCCTAGGTGACAGAGCGAGACTCTGTCCCAAAGAAAAAAAAGCGGGGGCAGGACATCCTTGATTCTTTCCCTGCATTTCCTACTTTCCAAAATAGTGAGCTGGTTCCCTAGCATCCTCCATAAGTGAGCAATGAGTGAGTTTTTTTTCTTAATTATTTTTTTCTTAATAATTATTATGAACCCATGACTTTAAACATATTTATGTCTCAATTCATGACAGCTATTATACTGATATCTCGTTCGTTCCATCTTGGCCAGTGGGGAGCATTTTTGCATCAGCTCTGACATCCTGTTGATGTGACCCAATGGTCTTGGACAGCTTTCTTGCTTTCTGGTATGACAGATGTTCCAGGCTCCTCTTGTATGTCTCTTGCCTGGGACCTGGCGTGAGCCATTTCTCCAAGGATCCCTGTTCTTTTCTGTTTAAAATGGTATATGTAGACCTCAGTCTGTGTTAGGAATATTCTCTTTACCTGGTCTTCTGTTCGGATAAGACGGAGAACCTTTCTTGGGAGAAATAGAGCAGAAGCTAATGGAAAGATTGTCCTGTCAAACTCTGGGTAATTGATGGGTGCTGTGGGGGGTTCCCTAGAAAGGAGAGCATGAGAGAAGGGGATGGAAAATGCATGGAACTGCAGCAGCTGGTCCACTCCCTGCAGCACCCTACTTTCCTTGCCAGCTCCCTGTATGTCCAGAGAGAATCACCATGTACTAATACTGTGGCTCAGGAAACAGCTCCTTTGTTCAGTCTACACATGGTGACGTCTTTCAGGAATCACTTTCTTGGATTGCTAAAATGTATGCAGCCATTTCTTCTTACCTCATTTTCAAAATTATGCAAATAATAGTCTCACTCTGTCACCTAGGCTGGAGTGCAGTGGCACAATAATAAAAATTAAAAGCAGCTAGTCACCATCCACCTTACTTAACAAATTTACCATTTCCATTGTTCCACATTCTCTTCTGTTTTTGTATTCACATACATAGTAATCTCTGCATATTTGCAGTCACAGTGCATTACAGTTTTATGTTGTGTTTTTTAAGATAGAAATGCATATTATAGACATTTTTCATATTGGTTTCATAGTCTTCAGAATTATCATTGTAATAGATGCTTACAGTGTCATTCAGCTAACATTTGTTGAGTGCCTTTCTCTATCAGACATGGTGGTAGGTGCTAAAAATGAAGAAATAAGGCCAGGCACAGTGGCTCATGCCTGTAATCCCAGTATTTTGGGAGGCCAAGGTGGGTGGATCACCTGAGGTCAGGAGTTTGAGGTCAGTCTGGCCAACATGGTAAAACCACATCTCTACTAAAAATACAAAAATTAGCCAGGCATGGTGGTGAGCGCCTGTGATCCCAGCTGCCCAGTAGGCCGAGGCAGGAGGATTGCTTGAACCCAGGAGGTGAAGGTTGCGGTGAGCTGAGATTGCACCACTACCGTCCAGCCTGGGCAACAGAGCGAGAATCTGTCTCATAAAAAGAAGAAATAATAACAAATCATCCCAAGCTAGAGAGGCTTGCCAGAGTGATGACATTTATGAAGAATATATTGGGTGCATAGAATGCATGTTTTGGGGGTTGGGGGTGACCAGAGCTGGGGTGTTCTCATAGCGTGTTCTAGCCAGGGATGTAGGGTATCTGAGTCTTTTTGGCATTCACCCAAAATTCCCGGTGAAATGGGTTACAGAAAACCATAGCAGAGTGAACACTCCAGTGCTGATATCATGAATTCTGTATTACATACAATTCTCCTGATACGCAGATCTGGAAGTACAGATTTGTCGTATCTTCCTGGTCAACTCTTCCCTTTACTATTCTATCATAACCCTTTTATCCCTATGAATGCCTTTTTGTGGTCTGTCTTATCTGCTATTGAATTGTAAGTTTTATTTTAATTAGTATTTTTCAGGTATATCTTTTTCCAATTTTTTACTCTTTTGTTGTGATATTTTAGGTATTTCTTATTAAATAGCATGTATCTATATCTCTTAAAATCCCAAAATTAACATCTTTGCTTTTTTAACTGTCAAGTTTAGTCTGTTTTCATTTATTGTGATGCATATGTTTGGATTCTTCCCCCATCTCCTACTTTGTACTATCATTTCTTCTGCTCTTCTGTTTTTCTTCATTCCTCATCTTTCTTGTTTGATATCGGCTCAGTTTTCTCTTCTTTCCTTTTTTAAAAAAAATTTTTTTTTTTTTTTGAGACAGGGTTTCACTGTGTCACCCAGCTGGAGTAGAGTGATGTGATCTCAGCTCAACGCAGCCTCTGCCTCCTGTGTTCAAGCAGTTTTCTCCTGCCTCAGCCTCCCCGGTAGCTGGGACTACAGGCGTGCACTGCCATGCCCAGCGAATTTTCTTATTTTCAGTAGAGATGGAGTTTCGCCACGTTGGCCAGGCTGTCTCAAGCTCCTGACCTCAGGTGATCTGCCTGCCTCAGCTTCCCAAAGTGCTGGGATTACAGGCATCAGCCACTGGTTTTTTGAGTTTTTTTTTTTTTTTTTTTTTGAGTTTTTTAATCACTCTTTTTTTCCCTTCCACTTTAAGACTTAAATATCTTATTTCTATTCTCATAGCGTTTTTCCTTAAAATTTTCACATGTGTTCTAAACTTACAAAGTCTAAAGACCTCTATGCAAAGGTGAGAGGCAGTAGGAGCAGCCACAGGAAGAACTGTCGGAGGGGCCTCCCAGGAGCAGGCCCCTGGCTGCAGGGACTGCCCGACGCGGTGTATTCTGGGGCCTGGCAGAAGCCGGTGTGCCTGGAGCCAAGTTGGCAATTAAAAAACATTTTCCATTTCTTCGCGATTCCGACTTGGAAGGTTGTATATGTCTAGAAATTTATTCATTTATTCTAGGTTATTCAATTTTTTGGCGTATAATTGTTCATAATAGTCTCATATGATCCTTTGTATTTCTGTGGTATCAGTTATAATATCTCCTCTTACTTTTTTCTTAGTCTAGCTAAAGATTTGTTTATTTTGTTTATCTTTTCAAAAAGCAAACCCTTAGCTTTGCTGATCTTTTGTTTTCCTAGTCTCTATTTATCTTATTTCTGCTTTGATCTTTCTTTCTTTCCTTCTGCTGACACTGGCTTAGTGAGCTCTTTTTTTCTGTTTCCCTGAGGCATAAGTTTGGATTGTTTATTTGGAATCTTTTTTTTTTTTTGGTGTGGACGTTTATTGGTGTAAACTTTCCTCTTAGAATTGTGTTTGTTGCATCCCACATATTTTAGTATATTTTGCTTCTACTTTCATTTGTCTCAAGATATTTTAAATTTCTTCATTTCTATATTGTTTATTGTTATTTGTTGTCTATTGGGTGTTCAGGAGCATATTGTTTAATTTCCATATATTTGTGATTTTTTTTTCAAAATTCCCCGTTATTGATTTCTACTTTTATATCATTGTGGTTAGAAAGGGTACTTGACATGATTTTAGTCTTCTCAAATGTGCCAAGACTTGTCTTGTGGCTTACTGTCTGATCTATCTGGAGAAAGTTCCATGTGCGCTTGAGGTGAATGTGTGTTCCGTTGCTGTGCGATAGAATGTTCTGTGTATTTATTAGATCCCCGTGGCCTAAAGTGTTGTTGAAGTCCAGTGTTTCCTTATTAATTTTCTGTGCAGATGATCTGTCTATTATTGAACGTGGGATATTGAAATCCCCTACTATTATTATATTGCAATCTGTTCCTACCGTCAGGTCCTTTAATATCTGCTTTACATATTTAGGTGCTCCAATGTTAGATGCATATACATTTATAATTGTTAAATCATCTCCATGAATTGATTTCTTTATCATTATGTAATGTCCCTTG